GTTTGAGTGCCCACGTTTTCTGAATCTAAAGTTGCATACCCTTACCAACTCATTCCACTACCAAAATTCCCTTAGATAACATCATTGCTCATCATTTACAACCCAAAGAGAAAGGATTTCGTATAGTAGAGTTAAGAAAAAAGGGACCTTTACGACCTCCCTAATTATATGAAGCGCTTTTAAGGACTTGCACTGGTGAAGAATCATACAAGGCCGCAATAAGATGCATTATTTCTATGACACGGTGTACCGCAATAATCACAAACTAGCATAAGAGGAAGCTCGAGAAAGAATCCAAAGGGATGTCTATATTTCCATCTTCTGAATTTCTTATATCATGTCATAGAGAAGTTCATATCAACATGGTTTCGATGGAGGGTAAGCTTCATATTGGACATCAGTACTTGAGTGTATTACAAAGATTATGGTTGCTTATGCCCGTTTTTTCTAGTTAGTAATGTTGCAAGTTAAGACAACAACTTTAAATGTTTTTTTAAAGATGTGATCATCTAAATACACAATGAACTTGAATTGATCAAAACGGGAGTTCAATACGTGCACGAGGGGTGCTCACGATAGCAATTGAGTCCACAACTGCCTCTTATGGTCGCATCAAACTGCATCAAAGCATTCATTGCATGGTTGTTGAGCCACATGGGGCATCAGACGACAATCCAATGATAATCCTGGATGTTTGGGGGGTACGTGGATATATATAGGAGGAAGAAGTACGTCTGTGGAGCAACAAGGGGCCCACGAGGGTGGAGGGCGCGCCAGGGGGGTGGGCGCGCCCCCCCTGCCTCGTGGCCGCCTCGTTGATTGCTTGACGTCCACTCCAAGTCTTCTGGATCATATTTGTTTCAAAAATAACGCTCCCGAAGGTTTCATTTCGTTTGGACTCCGTTTGATATTCTTTTTCGACGAAACTCTAAAATAGGCAAAAAAACAACAGTTTGGGCTGGGCCTCAAGTTAATAGGTTAGTTCCAAAAATATAATAAAAGTGTAAAAATAAGCCCAATAATATGCAAAATAGATAATATAATAGTATGGAGCAATCAAAAATTATAGATACGTTGAAGACGTATCACACGACATGCACAATGGGTTGGATTTTTCAACCAACTTGCACTTATCATGCAATGCACTTTGCCTAGAGTAAGGTTGTCATGTCTGAACTGAAGATATTAGATTTTGTTTTTATGGGTTTTTGCTAGATTACTTTTACGAATTTGACTGACCAACAGTCCGAGCACCGAAGCAAAGACATAGAGATTTATGCTAAGGTGTAGAGGTACTGCACATGTGAAAGAAGAGAAGTAGGAAGAAGGACAAAGAGTTGCTCTTAGCAGTTTCTCTCCGTCTAGACATCCCACCTAGACATGGATGAGATGGCGCACCAAATGCATGATTTCAGGTGAAGGCAGGGACACGATGTTCTCTCCCACCATTCATTGATGCTAATCAACATAGCAATAAGAATCGTTGATTGCTTTTGTCATCGATTGCAAATCTGTTTTAGTAAAGCCGATTAACCTTTTGTTTTCTGATGAAACTAGATAATTGGTCATGCGTTGCGACATGATATAATTTTTTTTTTGGTGCTTTAGCTTGTGATTTACCCATCTATGTTAATATTAATATGTTGTATATTTTTTAATAAAATCATGCTCGTGATTTACCTACCTAGAGCATAATGGCTAAACAAAGAAAATATATTTTTATTTGGTAAGTTAATAGAAGGTGGGACAATTAAGACGGTTTACGAGGTAATCCGATGAGAAAAATCCAAAAGTAGGAGGGAAATCAATATAGATAAATGAAAGGGGAAATCGACACGAAAATCCTTTTCTCGGCCCAGGCTCATCTGCACCTGCGCTAAAGAAAAAAAATTCAATACAAATACTAGAAAAATTCCAAAAAATTCAATTCAAAGCAGTCAATCCCAACGGCAGATGAAAACAATACCGACACATCTACTAAATCATCTTAACAACCTTGAAGATATGGGATTATATAACAAACTCATTTAGTTGATAGATCATTATTGGATTCTTTTTATTGTGACCAAGATCCATGAAATAGCTCTCTTTATACTTTTTTGCATGGTACATAATTTGGTGCGTGAGGTCCGCTTCAATTTTCAAAGTATTTAGACATCTGAGCATTTCTCGGCAAAAAAGATAAATCCGGGGCGTGTAAAAAAGTTTGTTGTTCATGTATTGTTCTGACCCGATTTGCCTTTTTTGTTGCGAGCTACTCAGATGTCCAAATAATCTGAAAATTGGAACGGACCTAACGCAATAAATTATCTACCATGCAATTTTTTAAAATTTTATATATTTTTTCTGACCGAAAGCAGATGAGTCTGGGCACGAATCGCTGCACTCAAACGTACATAGTAATAAGGTTCAAGGAAGCATACCCTAAAAAATGTTCAAAGAAGCACTTTGCGCAAAAAATGAATGTTATTCTTTTATTATACTCTGTGGCAAGATGTCAAAAAACTAGCAAAATCTGTGGCCCGCGCCACTGCCACTGTGAAAAGGATGAAGAGAATCAAATCGAATTGGATCAGTAGTGAGGTCACCCCGGTTCGCGGCCTCTCGCCGATAAAGGAAAAGCGAAGGCCCAAAAGTCTGGGAGCTTCGACCAGACGCGAGCAGATTCGAAACGAGCCGCCAGTCACGCGTCCGCTGTCCTTCTCCCCCCATTTATTTCGTGCCGCTGCGGTGCTGTCGCCTGGCCCGGTTCCCAATCCCAATCCAAATCTCATCGCCAAGCAATCATCACTCTAGCCCTTTGCCCTCCCCACCCGCAGCAGCATGGCGAGCCCGCAGTGCTGCGCGAACCCACCGGCGCTCAACCCCGCCGCCGGCGAGGGCAAGGTCGTGGACAGCTTCGGCGGGATCAAGGCGTACGTCGCCGGCGCCCAGGACTCCAAGGCCGCCGTCGTCCTCATCTCCGACGTCTACGGTAATTGATTTCGATCAGAACTCCTCTTTTCGTTCGTATTCAAGTTCGGTTGCCGGTGATACTGACGATTAACGGCGCTACCCGGCTTCCCTTTGCAGGTTTTGAAGCGCCGAATCTGAGGTAGTAGTATACTTGGCGGCATTCATCAATAGTGATAATCATCACGCCATTTAGCAACGGTGTTGCTTTTCGCCTGCCTTTTTTGCCGGGTCGTGCATATTGTCTAGAAATTGGGCGATTTCGTCCTCAGAGGCCATCTGGTCATAGTACTTCCTCCCTCCCGAAATACTTGTCGGAGAAATGGATGTATCTAGATGTATTTTAGTTCTAGATACATCTATTTTTATACAATTCTCCGACAAGTATTTCCAGAGGGAGGGAGTACTTCTGTGCTGTGTGTGGAAGTCGATCCGCATGAGAAGGACAAATCATACTTTCTCACATACTTTGGGCAAATATGTAACTGGAAGGTTCGCATAATTTATGGCTGAGATTTTAGCCCAGCTGTTATTTTCTGAATATAGGAGTAGTTTCTTATGGACTTCTATTTTATGACGGCCTGTGCCTTCTACTTTAGTTTATCACAATGAAGGAGTTCTGATGTAGCTTCTTTCCTCTTGAAGGAAGATAGCCGATAAAGTTGCTTCGTCTGGATATTTTGTTGTCGTGCCAGATTTCTTACATGGGGATCCATTTGTACCTGAAAACGCTGACCGACCAATAGCAGTGTGGATAAAGGAGCATACCCCGGTTTGTTATCTCCTGATTCCCTGAAACCTTGTTATTCTATTTTTCTTGTAAATGTTCAGGCCACGTTGCTTTGGTTTATGTTTAAGGTATATGTTTCGAAAGCTTTCCAGTTTCCATCGCATGACATTCCTGGCTTTTTGTACTTAGATTCGGACAGCGTTAACTAAGTAACCGAAGGTGGGAGGTGATGATAAAACCAATAGGTCCAAACCTAACAACATATATATGGTAGCATGTTATGACTTTGTGAGAATATGTGTAGGATATTGACTGATTGTTGTCATGTTCTTCCACCAACGTGGATAAGCTCTCCTGGGTCAGAAGAATAGAATGGAGACGCTCTACTGAGCTGATAGGGGTTTGAGTTACTTCTCGTTGAATGTGATGTCACATCTAATATAAACAAATAAATTGTGCTTTTATACAGGGAAAAGCATTTGAAGAGGCAAAACCTGTTATTGCTGCTCTAAAGGAACAAGGAGCGTCTAGTGTTGGGGCTGCAGGTTATTGCTGGGGTGGTAAGCACTGTTTTGTTTTGTTACATCTGAACCCAAATTCTAAGGTTTAACCTGCTAAGCATTGTGCTTCATCTCCCCACATATCAGCAAAGGTAGTTGCAGAGCTAGGGAAAGCTAATGAGATCCAGGCAGCTGTTATGTCGCACCCTTCATTTGTTACTGTTGATGATATAAAAGGTAAAAATCTCCTCCTTGAGAATTACATATACTCACTTAAATTGTTCCATTTGAAAGGTTTCAGATTCTTACACTACGACATGTGCTATATATCTCAGAGGTGAAATGCCCCATCTCTATACTTGGAGCTGAAACCGACGTAATGTCCCCACCAGAATTGGTCAAGGAGTTCGAGCAGGTTCTATCCTCTAACTCAGGGGTAAGTTCTCATTTCCAGCAACTCGATCTTCAAACCAAGAGTATTTAACCAAAAACTACCACAATTCACGGAACCGTGATGAAAAACTACCACTTTACGATTTTGTGCGAAAAACTACCGCTTTTTTCCTAAACTGTGGCAAAAAACTACCAAGTCTGAAAAGAGCCCGATTTGGCTCTTTTAAACGCGTTTCTGACAGAGTTGGCCCACACATAAGTGGGTTAAAAAAGCAATCGGGTCCCTTTTAAAAAAAAAGCAATCCAGTCCTTCCGCCACACCCCTGGCCGTGCCCATGGGCTGCGTGCCTGGCCTTGCCGCCCTGGCCGCGCGCCCGTCGCCGC